GTAATTTCCATTAGCACTACAAGGTAGATTCATGCTGGTATAATAACATCTAAGGAACAGTTATTGTAATGTCCATTAATCCACCTGGTTTGATATATTCATACCTGTATACAAATATATAACGAATAGTTTTCCTTACCCGAGTAATTTTATTAATTTTCCTTATGCAAATTACGAGAATAATTCTTGTGGGGAAAACTGTTTTATAGATATTGTTATACCGAAACAAATCTAATAAACTTATAGTTTTAATGAAAATTACCAGAATGACTCTAGAAAAGAAAAGTTTTATTGTTCCTGAGATGTTGTTATAACGACATAAATCCAATGAATCAGGAATATTTTTATTAACTACAGTAATAAATAAGTTTTAGATGAATTGCGATCCTTTTACCTTAGAATCCAAAATATGTTTTATTTGCTTCAAAGTACTTTTTGCTAGAAAAGAAGAATTTTACTTGGTATGAAGGCTTGAGATGTGTACGTCGTTAAGTTTTGACATTCTTAACTTTAATTATGTCACTTAAATAGAAAATATAATTATCTTGTAGGAACTGTGTATTCTTGCCAGGTGCAGAAAAGTTATTTACCATTTTATCATTACATGTACATTTTAAAATCAGACTGAGGTAAGAATATTTGTAAAGTTGTTGCCTTGTTTTAGTATAAAAGAAACTGAAAAAATAAAAGAACATTCACGTAGGATATCGTGTGGTCTTCTGCAATCGGCCAGACAAGGCAGGGGATAAACAGCACCTGCCACTTTCCCACCAATAGACGCCAACGCTGACGTCAACCTTCAGATCAATGGTTCCACGATCAATGCTTCCTGGTAGTTCAGTTTTCCTAAAAGAGAGGCTATGGAAGGAACAAACAAATTATTTGTACTTTGGAATTTAAAAAAAATATTCAATAGAATATGTTGGATATACTTTTACGTATTATGCATATGAAAAATTAGCCCTATAAAACTGCTCTATATATACTGTAATTTCCAGCTGTACTTATACTGAGTTAAAAATTCCATATTGTAATAATTTTAGTCCATATTAATCTTGAATATATTTGCTAAACAGGTTTCTCTTTACACAGCTGTTCATAATAATCATGCCAGAAGGAGAAAGAAAGGTGAAATATAAATGAATAAAAAACCCTATAACCCGAACGTTTCGAAAGCGCTCGAATTATAGGGATTTTATTCATTTCTATCAAGACTTCTTGAACCTACGTGTGTTTCTAACATCATGAAGGTAGAATATATTGTATCATAAATATTGTAAGTGTTAACTGGAGAGGTGTGAACCGGAGAAATTGTTTCTTTACGTACTTCTTAACTAGTCATTGTTCTTCCGGCTTTTTGCAACAAATAGGAATACAAAAGAAAAATTAATTCTTGCTAAGGGCAGGTTTATTTGTCGTTTGAGATAAGAAGACCATAATGGTTGTATATATGTTGACCTTATGAGACCTTATATATATCTTTGGTAAAATGTTTGTAATTATTGTTTTTGTTTTTAATTTCATTTAATACTATATCTGAAGTATAGTTAATTAGATTCCTACTTGGTATGCTACCTAAGTATTTTGTCTTTTCTCCTAAAGAAAAATGAGCTTTCTCTTGAAAAATGTTGCGATAGTGAGGGTGGTATTTCTATCTTTTTCTTTTCCTATAAAACTATTTTAGAGTATAAAATAATATATTAGAAAATAACGACATATACACAAAATGTATTATTATGCGTTATGAAATAACAATAGAAAAATATGTGCTATCAATGGATATAGATAATAGCAATTTATAGACAAAGATTTGTCATTGGAATTAAATATCCCTATAGTGTTAGGACTTTATAATATAGATAAAAACTTTACAAAGCTAAAACGTTATGAACCAGTATAACAGTGAGCTATTGCTTCACTTAAATCAGGAAAGATAATCTATGAAAACTGTGCTTCATATTACATCAAAAAAATAATACAAGCTCTTGAAATGTTATGATAAAAAAAACACTAGTAAAGTTTATCATAATTATAATCATATGCATAACATTCATCATTTATGTACCCATTTCATTGTTCGTTTATTTTAGAATATTCATGCAAAGCTACAACAATGGGCTGTATGCGCTAGCTCTCTTTAATTTTGAACTGATAGATTATAGAAAATGCAGCCAGGTCAACAGCACTCGTCGCTACTTGGATTACTCTAATCGAATAGTGAGATTTAGCCAACATACTCACGTTAAAGTTCATTGATAACTCACACATTATATATAGATGTATGTGTAGAAAAATGTTGAATTATCGAAATGTGCCTTCAGAAAAGAGCAGTTATAATACCAAATCATTAGAGATTATACTTTCAGATATCCTGGAAATGAGTTTAAATAGAGTTTTTGTGTGAGTTATTGTTCGCTTGATTGATAATGTTTCGAACAATTTCTTAAATCTTAGTCTTATTAAGCACGCCTTATCTTCATGGAACTTAAATATTTTGAACGCTTATTGTTTCATGAAAATTAATTCTGTCTTGCATTAACACAAAATGCATTCTTATCAAAATGTGTGCTAAGACTAGTATTATTTTACAAATAAGCTGAAAATTATTTGTTAAAGATAAAATTAGCTTAGCGTACAGTTTCAGATCTATCACATTCCCTGCAGTCATCCTCCTACAATTAGCAGTAGGATAGTAGTCTCACTGCTTAGAACGTTCACTCAGACCGCCTCTTAGTTAAGAGGATAATCTAGAAAACAAGCTTGTTCTAAGCCTTCTCGAAGTCGAACCTATTTCACGCTGTACAAGAGTGTTGTCGGAACATTAATAGAAATGAGAGGTGTAACAGCATGTTCGGATCAAACATAACAAGAAGACATAACAGTGTAAAGGTTTAATAGAAACTTTAGACCGGGAACTTCCAGAGTAACAAAAGCTTCGACAGTTACGTCCTGTTAACACGCTAACGAAAACCTTCGCACACGTTGTATCAACATTCATGCTGAGTGCTACCTTACTGAGAACAACAGACTGTGATAGAAAGGCTAAAAATGCGTTTTATGGATAAAAATATTTACAAGAGAAATTTAAATCTTACATATTAGGATAACCGTCTACAGTTTCCTATATTTACATATATATATTTGTATGTGTACAGTAAAAAACAAATTTTGTTGCAGCTGCAATTTGAAAGTACAAATTTTGTTACATTACTTTGTTAACCAATTTGGTATTCAGTTTTTTTTACGTCATAATTCAATTATTTGACGAAAACCAACATAGATAATTGCAATGGCCTAACTAAATTTTTCCAGATAATCGAGAACAAAAAAAAGAGAGTTATGGAACATGGACGACTACTTACTGAAATATACATATATATTAACATTAACAAATGTATCTTCGACAACAAAATATTAACATTAACAAATGTATCTTCGACAACAAAATATTAACATTAACAAATGTATCTTCGACAACAAAATATTAACATTAACAAATGTATCTTCGACAACAAAATATTAACATTAACTAAATAGTATACTTCGTACATAAAATAAATAACTATAACTAAATAAGTATACTTGACGAACAAAAATTTACATTAACTAAATAGTAT